AACTTTAAGATGTTCCAAAAGAAATGGAAAAGTTTGCTTTCATTTCTTTTTAAGTATTGGACCATCATTGCTGTGAGTCCCTCCCTGCCTTGCAAGTCTTTTCCCATCTGGCCGGGGATGGCAGGTCCCTGACCGACTCCAGCTACAAAAGCTGAGGCTGCTGAACAGAATCGTGGGCCAAGGGGGTTTTGTTACAGGGATTAGGTTGTTGCTGTTATTTTTCCAAATTTTTATTTCGTACCCTATTATAAATGTGGAAATTTGATCAATTTGGTTGTGTACTTTTGATGGTTTGTTTATTGTCTGTGACTACTTCTGTTATAGGACACGGGTGGTGCTGTGGGTTAAACCACAGAGCCTAGGACTTGCCTATCAGAAGGTCGGTGGTTTGAATCTCCACGATGGGGTGAGCTCCCATTGCTCGGTCCCTGCTCCTGCCAACCTAGCAGTTCGAAAGCATGTCAAAGTGCAAGTAGATAAATAGGTACCACTCTGCCAGGAAGGTAAACGGCGTTTCCGTGCACTGCTCTGGTTCGCCAGAAGCGGCTTAGTCATGCTGGCCATATGACCCGGAAGCTGTACGCCGGCTCCCTCGGCCAATAAAGTGAGATGAGTGCTGCAACCCCAGAGTCGGTCATGACTGGACCTAACGGTCAGGGGTCCCTTTACCTTACCTTACTTCTGCTATGTTTGCAGTTATGTATATTTTTTATATGTTGTGAGCTGCCTTGAGCATGGTTTAACTTTGTAAAGGCAGCATGCAAATAAAATGATTGATTGAGGTTATTTTTTAAAATTTAATATAATTTTCCTTTCCAGCCAGCTTCCCGCTCCTTCCGCCACTACTTCCTTTCCACTGAAGTAGGCAGTAGTTCATTCATTTCAATAACATGGTGCAACTCTCACAATGGCTAAGAAAATTATGGTCAAGCATTGATTTCCTAAACTAGACTCTTCAGAACACAGGGGAGAGAGGCTGCTCCTATGGCCTGGCATCCTTCCCATCAGCAAGCTCTGGGTTATATCTAATGGTGGAGTGCATGAACAGAACAGGCTTCCACTCCTCTCCTCCCCCTCCTCTTGAAGCCTTTCCCCATGCCCTCAAAATCTATTACCAGAGAGAGCTTGAGGGATTGTTGAGGGGCTAAAGGGGGGAGTGAGGAAGGGGAAATCCCACTGCATGGGCAGAAATCACCTGCTTTGTGCCTCCTATGTACAATGTGTGCTTAAACAATATAACTGCAGATCTATTGTAATTCTCTAGATGTGTGAACTTCAAGAACAATTGTATTGTACCAATTATTAATCAATAAAGCCTGCTTCACAAAAAGAAATAACTAGGGGTAGACATATCTGACAATTTTGGTTCCTCTCAGGTTCCCAATTTTCCAATCTTAAGTTAATTTCTCTGCACTTCTGCATCAGTTTGAAAGCACTTTTTAAAAAAAATACACATGAAAATTTGCCAGCATTTCAGTCTGCATTTATCCTAAAGTACACATTTTTGCAAGCAGTTTGACCTAATGTAATGCATTTTTATGTTGTTTTGTACATGTTATTTGGTTAGAGAATTGCACTGTAAAATTCAGAGAAGCACAAATATTAAGGGGTGTTCAGTTCACGTAATGTTTGGGAAAGTTCACGTAATGTTTGGTCAGTTCACATTAAAGGCAAACTGAACCTAATTTATTACTTTTACTGAACTGTAATAAACAATTATGATTTCTGAGTATGTTCCTCCCACTCCACAATTACTCAAGATCTGATGTTTCAACCCAGGAGGAAGGTAAATGAAAACAGAGAAGGAATCATACATTCACTTGCTGTTTCCTAAACCACTACAGTTAACTGTTTGCATCTATGAGTATCAAACGCCTTGGTACAATTAAGGTGCTATATGGTATAATTGTAGAGAGCATAAATGACTGGAAAACATTTTTAGCAGTCTGATGCTAATATTTCTTTTCTTTTCTTTTGCGGATTGTCATAAATGCCACCATCAACAAATAATCTACTTTGTTAGAAATGTCTGGAAGTAGGGTAAGTGTTTCGTTTTGCATTTTATTGTATTATGCTTGATTATTTTGACAGTTTTAACTATATCTGACATCTTATTGTATTATTTATTGCTGTCATCTGCCCCAACATGAGTGGCAATGAAGGGCAGCAAATAATATAATAAATAAACAGGGATGAAAAGGCCAGCAAACTCTAAGTCTGCTAATTAAATAATCTGATCTTGGATACTCTTAAGGTCAGAGGTCTACTGTGGCTAAAGAGAATTGGTTATTCAGTTAACAGGCATTTCATTCTCTACCTTCTTACACATACCAGTACTTCTCTGGGAGATGTTTAGTTAGGAAGCCCAGTTTCTAATAACTAGTTTAAATATATTTAACCCTGCAAAGTAAAGGTCAGGGATGCACACTGAACTCCATTTTCTATCCTTTTATGCATGATTAAATGGTAATTAAGTTTTAATGAAAAGTGTTAGGCTGATTACAATTAACATAATCACACCAGTCAGTTCATGTCCTCGTGGTGTTTTACATGCTGTGCTGAGCTGGTGAGACAATGGACTCTTGATGGGGTCCAAACATTTTGCGAGCAAAATACATTTGCATTCATCCAATTAATCATCTACATCAGCATACTTATTAAAGCAGGGGTGTGTGTGTTGGAAACTTACGTATAGGAATCTGTAGCATAAATTTATGCACATAAAAATTAATCTTTGAAAAATGGTAAACATCTGCAACCAAGCTGTAAGCCATGAAGATTATTCATAAGAGCAACATTAAGAGCCATTTTGTGTTACTGTAACTGTATGGGAAGAAAAATGTCGTGACTTTTTCCCACACTGCTTTGGTACAGATGACCAAACCATGTGGTCGGAGTCAATGACATCCAGTCCTCAATTATGCAACTATGGTAACATATAAATAAGCATTATCTGTCATAAAAGTGACTATTTTTACTTCAAGACTCTATACTAAGGAATCCCATGAAAGGCTTGTCAGAGCTCTGATAACTCTGCAGTTCAAAATGCAATCAAGTTCTCTGATTGGACATGCCTACACACACACACACACACACACACTACCACCACCAGTAGATCACTCAAGAATCCTTTGCCGATAGATCCTTTGCTAAAATGCACAGTTGCTAGGCACAGGAACAATGTAAACAGCAAAGCTGGGGGCATAAGAAGGTCCAAGCTGCATTTCCCCTAGCAATTGTTGACCCAACCCAAACATTTTTCTTTCCCCATACTGGAGAAGACTGGCATTGTTTTGAATTAGCAAGTCTATTTTGGCTGAATATGAGGCCAGTATGTGCAGCAATGCCAACGCCAGACAATGCATGGATCGCACTGTCATGCAGAGATTCTGGTGCTACTGATCAGGGCCGGAGTTAGGTTTGATGTGGCCCTAAGCTACTGAAGATAATGGGGCCCTTTATATGTCCAGCTGTCCTTCGTCAACAACAAATTGTCGCTGTTTTTTGTGTTGAATATATGCTATATGGTAATTTATGGACCTAATAGGTATCTAAAGCCATTTGCACAGGCAGAATGTAGTCACCCTATATACAAAAATGAGCAAACCAGTGATATTTTAGGGAGCAGGCTAGCAGGCGAGGCCCATTACTCATAGGAGCCTATACCACACAAAACACTGTTGCTGTATGTAGATTTTATTTTATTTGTTTTTTATCTTATATTTTGGAAATGTACATCCAGGGGTTTTTTCCCTTTAATTTTTTTTGGGGGCCCAAACAGAGTGGGGCCCTAAGCTATAGCTTGTTTAGCTTATACGTAAATCCGGCACTCCTACTGATGAAGATGAATTACTGTAGCAGCTCAAGAGCCACTTTCTAATGGTTTTATTTTGTGTCGCTCTGGAAATGTTTGAAAGGCCAAAACCATGTGCACAGGATCAGCTGTGTGAGTCCTTTCCCCTCCCTTTCTCAACTAGGTAAAAAATGAGAGAGAGATCCTACCCACATTTCCAGCCTTTCACATGTTGCCACAGTAGCATGGGATGAGCGCTGCCAGAAACAACTCCTATGCTGCTGCAGTCATTAGTGAAATGGTTCAGTGTATCGGGGAACAACGGAATGGAAGCAGTGGCTTCTTACTCTACACAGCTTGCTTCCCTTCAATGTTTATGATTCAAGTAAATGCCTTATTCGATGTTGTCAAGGGACTGCCATCGGAACAGGAGAGGGAGGCAGGGATGCCGTTGGAATACAGGGAGCCACCTACGCTTCTGAGGAGCAGTTCCTCTTCCAGCGAGGGGAAAAGCCACACCTCCAGTGGAGAAGAGCGGGAAGGGGCCAGCCAAGCGAGGAGAGGGCTCGAAGATGCTGCTGAGAGCCCAAGTGCCTCACGTAACCCAGCTGGCCAAGAGGCACAGACGCCAATTCCGTCGCCCAGCTTGCACAGAGGGGTGAAACACAAGGAGGGGAGGTGGAGATTTGGGGTGACTAAGTTCTTATGTTGGGGGAGAAGCCGGAAGGGGCCACTCCCGGATTCTGCAAGTGACTCAGACAGACATGAACTTTGTGTATCTGCACTGTAAATAGTTTGCACAATAAAACCTGTAAAAGACAGGTCGGAGTCCTGCCTGGTTACTCACGAGCAACCACCACCCAGCATCTGACAGATGTGAAATGCAGCAATTTGCACAGCAAAGTTTTTCAGGCAGAATCTGATCTGAGACACCCCTGTATATTACAACGTATGTTAAAATTTTGTCATTTGAATACAAAATTGAAATATGCTATTTGTCAAGAAGCATAAAGTAGAATATTTGGGGGAACTGTTTGTTTATATTTTTAGCAGATGTCATCTAATTCAGCATACAGTCAATATAGATTTTGGGTTCTTACCAGACTGAAACTCGTTTTCAAGATGGCGTACCAGACCACGCTATTAGCAACAAAAACATGAAAGGCCAAAACCTGATTTTACTCAAGGACTAAACAAATCCACCTACTTGAAAACTGGATAGAAAATCCTGATTTGCTGATGAAGAAGTCACTGTCAAATTGCAAAGTCAGGGAGTTGAAAGTACTATAAATATCTTCAGGAAGAGCTGAGCCACTCCACTCTTTCAGTAGAATACTGCTTTCAACAGGACCATCCCACACTTTGAGTATGTCATGAGCCACCTCAGTGTCAAAAACAATAAAATGCAGACTGCAAATGAAAGAAGAATGTGAGACATTTGTCATTCATGACTACCTTTGGTGCTAAATAAAAAGGGCAGATTAAGGAATGACAGGCATGTAACAACACATAATTAACCATGATTAAATCCATTAATCTGAATGAATGTAAGTGTGAATCTTCTTTGTTTCATTGTGGTTATAATAATTAACATGAAGCTACAAATTACGTCCAGAAAAAAAGGAAGAAAACCTGGTTTATCAGCATTCTTCTTTGGTTAGTTGCAGACATATCAGGGGTACATGTATGCAAACTCCACAACACATGACCTTTTATTTGGAACCATGGCTGAACTGATTGACAATCCTCAAGATGTGGATGCCACCAGACATATCCCAATAACACTGACTTACACAGTGACGGACCTTGGCACCGTGTGTGACACCACAATTTGTCGCCTCCCCTCTCACCTACCATTATACATTGTAGTTGTAGCACCCCCAGCAGTGCTACAACCATTAGCTGCACACTGCATCAGTTTCATTTCTCTTCCAGATTAAAGAAGCTGGTAGCATCAATTAGCTCTCCCCCGCCCCCCCAAAAAAATCTCCTTTATTCCAAAACTTATTTTACACCCAGAAATAAAGTGTTTCAAAGGACTGAATTAATTTGAAGGAAAAGAAAACCAACATACATTTAGGAATTCATTTCTAAGTGCCTTGTCGCCACAACCCCTCCTTTAAATTCAGAAGCATTACTTGACATTGGACATTCACAGCTCAAAATGAACTACTGAAGGAATGTCTTATTTCTGAGCATATACAGTAATCAACAAACTTAAGCACAAAATAAATTGTAAAGGGTGGAAATGACCCAAAAATATCCCAATGAAGACCAAGGCTGCTCAGTGCCAATGAACTGGAAACTACTGAGATGGTGGCACTGAAGGCGAGGTGGGAGAGGGAATGCCATGGAGAAAGACAAAGGATGAGACACATAGATGAAAAGAGACAACCACCTGCTTGACTGGGAAGGCCATTCCTGGTTCACGCTAAGAAGCCATTTTTAAATGTCCCTAGAGCTGCCCACAGAAATCTGTGCAGGAAACCCAATGGAATTGGGATTGGGCAGCAGTGTGTTCAAACCAACACCCTCTCAAACCAGACCGCTAAGGACCAAACATGTTGAGTGGATGCAACATATTGACTGCAGGAGCATTAAAATCTGGTGTGTGTATGTGGTGAAGTGGCTGAAACCCTGAACATGTGCACACTGGATTACGCCACTTTGTTCAGGGCCTCACTCGTTCCTTAACATTAGACATTCACAACTGCAAGTAAACAAGAATTTTGGTGGGTTGTTTTACCTTTTCCCATATCAAGTTCAATGTCTGATCAGTTACATTATAAGTCAGACCTTGGAGACCTGAATACACTTGAAGCATGACAACGCCTACTATGCTGATAAGCATGTCATGATCTTTCATAGATTTTGTTACCATTTCCACACTGTGAAGCATCACCCACATTTTTTAAACATTAAACATTACATGTGATGATGTAAAACACTGTCCAGAGAGCTACACTTATTGGAAATGGTCACAGTTCAGTGCCGTTTTTCCACTTGCTGTAATAAATATTGACTCAGAAGGCTGCTAATAAGTAAATATTAAATCTGTTTTCTACCTACAGATGGTTGTTTGTAATTTCTTATTTCATTCTATATTAATTTCACATTTGCCATTCCTATTAAAATGCAAATGGAGCAATGAATTTGCTCGTGATTGAGTGGGTGTCTTTTGGTCTAGTATTAGGGGAATACAGTTATCTTTCTATTCTAGGAAGAAGAAAATGAAATTGTGTGGGGGGAAATTATGAATTTCTCTGAATATGTATAAGGAAAGTATTTTAGCAAACAGTTTCCCTCCCCAGCTAAACTCTAGCCTATTTATGTAAGAATATTAACTATTTGAGAGTAAACATGATACTTAAAAGTACAATGAATTAGGATTTCCATTCTACTGCAGTTAGAATGCATTACAAAAATTCTAATATGCTATCATTCCTGAAAGATTGCATCTGCACTGCTATATAGGCTCATCTATCTCTCCTCCCCCTGAAGAATGGACAGTTTTCTTGCTGTGGAAATGAGTTCTCTAAAGGTTTGTGAATTACTTCCTGAGAAACCCTTACAATATGATTCTGCAGATCAGTTGAGCTCGGTGAGACCAATATAGTTACTTTCATTTCTAAAACTAGATCCAGTTCTAATAAGTAGAGTAGATCCTATAAGATGCCATGAAAGGTGACAGGTTGGGATCCTGTGCTCTCATTTCTTTTGCCACTTTATGGCAAAAATAAAGGCGAAGCATGGGTAGAATAGCATTAATGGCTACTTCTGATATGATGGGCTTATCTGCCCACAAAGAAATTTACAACACAGATCTAAGCATGTTCAGTCACAAGTATGTCCCAATGAGTTCAGTAAGGCTTACATCCTAATATGTTTGCACATCTAAGGTTCTCCCTTTTGGTCCTACAATACATATATAACCAATGGCAGTCCATGATTTCTGGAAGTAATTTGTTAAATACAGTGAATCAGGCATCTTTTAATCTTGCAATTTGCCCCTTAAAAGATCAAACAAGAACGAGGTATGTATATAATGGTAAAACCTATAGTGCTATGACTTGGATAATACTAAATTTAATAGCTGAGACTGCATGCATACCTAATTGTCCTCCCTGGGTCTGCTTCTATAATCCAAGTACAATGAAGATTGTTGTCATATGGAGCTGGATAACCAGGAGACAGAATGCGGCCTGAAGTAGCAGCGTGAATACGTCCACCACATTCAGCTGAAAAGAAAAAGCGAAAACAATCAATTTTCAGAGAGAAGTGCCATGCACAGTTGAGGTACTTTACTTTACAGAAAGGTTAGAACTCTTAACTTTAGTAGAACGTGATTGCTTGTAATATACCAAGCTGCTTGGTGAAATGATGAACGGCCAAGAGCCAGAAAAGAAAAATTAGAATAAAGAAAGGAAGTTGGAATAACTTTATGGGGTCTTGTATTAAACATTAGGTAAAAGGTAAAGGACCCCTGACCAGAATGACTAAACCACTTCTGGCACAACAGAACACTGTGACAGAAACCAGAACGCACGGAAATGCCGTTGACCTTACCCCTGCAGCAGTACCTATTTATCTACTTGCACTGGCATGCTTTCAAACTGCTAGGTTGGCAGGAGCTTGGACAGAGAAACGGGAGCTCACCCCATCGTGGGGATTTGAACCGCCGACCTTCTGATCAGCAAGCCCCAAAGGCTCAGTGGTTTAGACCACAGTGCCACCCCGCATTAAGCCACCTAGGACATGCAAGGTGAATTCTAATGCAAAAGTGGTGCAGTGCAATCCTTGAAAGTTTTTGTGTGGTTTTTTTGGAGGGGTTGGGGGGATCTGTAAAAAACAAACACATTTTTGAACATATTTTCTCAAACAATAAATACACATACACATGTTTAATCTAAAAATGTGCACTTTAAAATCCAAGAATTGCACTGGAAAATCTAAAGAAGTGAAAAGTCCAAAGAATAACCATCAACACTTTCATCCAGAAGTGTGAATCAAGTCAGTTTGTGTAACAACTCACATAAATCAAATACTTCAAGCATCTCTACTTCTATCAAAGTTCTTTCTTAGTTATAGTAGTAGTAGTACACTAGTAAGCAACACTTTCAAAGTAGAGTTCATTTACTTTTATATGTGCTGCCAAGTGTATGAAAGAGCCCAAGAGATTTAGTTTACTTGTGTGCTATTACTGTTTTAGGAAAGAGCAGCAGATAAAAACTTCGGACTTTGTGAACAAGTAAGCAGCCTCTAGGAGAAACTTTTGCAGCCCTGGTTCAGATGATGCCTGTAAGTTTGAAAACGATGTGTGACAAGGGTAGACCTTGTGCCTTCCCTGTGCCCTGGCAGCAGCAGCAGCACACTATCCAATCTATCCCCACGTTGTTTCTGATAGGGTATTTGTTGTTATTGTTGTTTAGTCGTTTAGTTGTGTCCGACTCTTTGTGACCCCATGGACCAGAGCACGCCAGGCACTCCTGTCTTCCACTGCCTCCCGCAGTTTGGTCAAACTCATGCTGGTAGCATCGAGAACACTGTCCAACCATCTCGTCCTCTGTCGTCCCCTTCTCCTTGTGCCCTCCATCTTTCCCAATATCAGGGTCTTTTCCAGGGAGTCTTCTCTTCTCATGAGGTGGCCAAAGTATTGGAGCCTCAGCTTCAGGACCTGTCTTTCCAGTGAGCACTCAGGGCTGATTTCTTTCAGAATGGATAGGTTTGATCTTCTTGCAGTCCATGGGACTCTCAAGAGTCTCCTCCAGCACCATAATTCAAAAGCATCAATTCTTCAGCGATAAGCCTTCTTTATGGGCAAGCTCTCACTTCCATCCATCACTACTGGGAAAACCATAGCTTTAACTATACGGACCTTTGTTGGCAATGTGATCTCTGCTTTTTAAGATGCTGTCTAGGTTTGTCATCGCTTTTCTCCCAAGAAGCAGGCGTCTTTTAATTTTGTTGCTGCTGTCACCATCTGCAGTGATCATGGAGCCTAAGAAAGTAAAATCTCTCACTGCCTCCATTTCTTCCCCTTCTATTTGCCAGGAGGTGATGGGACCAGTGGCCATGATCTTCGTGGTATAGTTAGTTTTTTAAAACCAGAGGAAGGATAGAGAAGTACAAAGACATTATTCCACCCACAGTTCTGACTGCTGGCAGCTGTCTGGCAGGGCAGTGAATAACTGGGAAAACCACCTATGGTTTGTCCCCCTCTCAAAAAAATAAAAAATAAAAAACCTTAGGATTTAAGCCTCAGAGAACCAAAAGGGATTTTTATTTTATTTTTTTACAAGCAAAGGTACATCAATTGATGATAAGGCAGTATCTGAGTAACCCAGAACGAGCTCAGGTAGTGTGAACAATATTTTCTTGTTATACTTTTAAGAAGTTATAAATCGAGCTTCCCTGTGAGCACTGTCCTATGGAATTAACCTAAAGTGTTAGCATTCAGATATGTGCTATCTAGCACTCGTCCTCCTGACAATATGCTTCTCGCATGGATGAGCAAAACACACTCCACGAATAGCCCACAGCATTTGCATGGGTTGTAGCCATACGGCTGGAAAATAAGAGTAACCTTTTCTTTACCTTGATGGAAATGTTTTTCTTCTCACTTTTTAACGTGTTGCACATATACCTTTTGATAGCAACATAAGACAAGCTAGTTCACATCTTGCTCAGTCAGAATCCAGAGTTTTCGTAACTGGCAAGTCAAGATGACACAATCTTTATGTCATGTGTAAGTGAGGAGCTTGAAACAGCTGAGAGCACAGACGAAAACACATAAGGGTACTCAAATTAGTTTCATGTTTCTAGGTTTGATGGTTCTCTTACATGAGATTGAAAAGATATTTTCCCAGGCAGAGAATTCTGCAAAGAATGTATGTACTCAGCCACTTCCCTTTGTTCAGACACAGATCATACCAGACTTTCAATTAAAAAGAGAAAGGGCGGGGGTGGAGAATCAAAGAATGCCACTTAATGTGTACAATGTGCTTAAAGCAGGAAAGATTAGAACTGAACGGAACACGTGATGACAAAGAAATGAATTTATGCATTATACATGTCTGTTCCCACCCTCTTAAATAGAACCTTTTGTTGTCAGTGGGAACTCTGGCAAAGCTGTCCTGTATTAGACCTGGAAAAGAATTCCAAGTGTCCATAATCTCAGTTCCACTGCCCAAGCCTACTCTGGTTGATGGGGCAAGTTTGCAGCTGGTGCCAAAGCCGCCATTTTGGATGCTGGTGTTCATGTACACGTGACGTGCAATGCACCAGCATGTTAGGTGTGGCTACAGGGGGCTCATTTAAGCCCACCCCTCCTCCTCAACCTCTGCTTGAGGGCATCCTCCCTCCCTTTTTTGCAGTTTGGCTTTCAGTGGTCACTTCTGGGCCACAGGGGAATTTTTGACTCAGTTGTCTGGTTTGGCAAGTGGGTTTTCTCACCTTCTCCATGCTGTAGAGCTGGGAAAGGAAGTTGATTAGCCATGGTGTCTGTCCACTCAGCCATTAGGCCTAGGTTAATTTGGCTCCTGCACTGTTACCCCTTTTAAACAGGTTAATCATGTCACTTTTGCAGGAAGGTATAGGAAGCAGAGCATGTTAGGATAGCATGTTAGTGACCCTTGGGGATGACTGTCAGTGCTTAAGGCCTGAACGTGAGAGCAGGTTTCCTCAAGCTTGTAGACCCCTAAGGGGGTGGGGGTGGGCAGGTCTCTCTACTTACCTTCAAGGTGTGGCTGGAGTTAGGTAAAGGTAAAGGGACCCCTGACCATTAGGTCCAGTCGTGACCGACTCTGGGGTTGCGGCGCTCATCTCGCTTTATTGGCCAAGGGAGCCGGCGTATAGCTTCTGGGTCATGTGGCCAGCATGACTAAGCCGCTTCTGGCGAACCAGAGCAGCGCACGGAAATGCCGTTTACCTTCCCGCCAGAGTGGTACCTATTTATCTACTTGCACTCTGATGTGCTTTCGAACTGCTAGGTTGGCAGGAGCAGGGACCGAGCAACGAGAGCTCAACCCATCACGGGGATTCGAACTTCTGATCAGCAAGTCCTAAGCTCTGTGGTTTAACCCACAGCGCCACCCGCACTGGAGTTAGGGCTAGGCAAATATGCTTGCTTCTGGCCTGGCAGGGGTTTGGTCGCCCTTATAGCTGCACAAGTCCCATAAACATAAGCAATTCCCATACCAATAGTTTTGCTCTGCAGGTTTGGATTTATATAAATAAAAGTGTCACTTATTCAACCCAACTATATGTCTCTCAGTGTTTGTTTTAGCTATCAGCCTCAAAAGCCCACCTCAAAAGAAAGACAAGCAGCTAAAGTTCCAGGTTACTTGCCCTCTAATGGATTAACCGTATGAAAAGACCTTTTGACTATACCTCCAATTTTGCCCACTCAGAGCTTTTTCCTCACCGCACAGAAACTACTGGAGTCATTAGTTCCTATGGGGACAGAAAACAGGCACTGCATGGGTGAAATAGGAGAAGCGACAGCCCCTTCCTCTCAGATGGCTCATGAGAATGGCTGTAGGTCTCCACTTCCTATTTTGCCCTCACAACATTTTTTCACTCCTCATACAGGGATAGTGGAAAGGATCCGAAGACTAGGAAAGATACTGGACTGGCTCAGAACAACTGCCAGCCATTCCAATGGGTCTTTCTTTCTTTCTTTCTTTCTTTCGCTTGAGTAATTTCTGAATTACTTTGGAAAGCTCATTATCTCCCCTTTTCAGCAGGATAATAAGACCAGGTTTTATGTGTGACCTCATAAAAACAAACAATTCAGATAAAGAGCAACTCAGATATTGAATTTCACATTAATCCCATTATTAATGGAGAAAGCATACGAGTGATCTAGTCTTATATACCTTGTGAACAGAAAATGAGTAGAATATGATATAGTAAAAATCTATGCAAAGAACAATACATAAATATTAGCCTTGCCACAAGACAGCTAAATGATGGTTTGTTAAGAAACTGGCCTGTGTTTCAGTGAGGGACAGGGAAAGATGGGGGGATACTTTTATACATTCAAGAAGGCTTATATCTCTGGGAACAAGGGTAATAAAAGTTGTTGTTGCTGTTGTTGTTGTTACAATCTTCTAGCTATGGACCCAAATTTACCACCAATTTTGCAGGGGGTCAGTTTAGACAATACCAGATAGGACAAAATAATTCATGGAGACCTCACAGAGAACAAGCATTCTTTTTAGCAAGAATTACCACAGAATTTTGCTTCAAGGCAAAACATGAGGTGAATCTGGAGATTTCTCCTTGGGTAAGAAATGTGAAGAAAACTGAAAGAGTTTTGATAGGGACGTCAAAATTTCTTGTAGTCTGTAGTCCATTCATTCCTAGGCTGCATCAAATGTCCTTCAGAAATCAAGGTAAAAACATACCAGAGGAATTTCAAGAAAAGCCAAAAGAATTTCAGGGAGAGTAGTAGCAGATTTCCTCAGAGATGGCCCACATATTTAGTTTCAATATATGTATATGGTGGTGGTTGGGGGAAACCTGAGATAGATTATATACCATTTCAAAGCATCGTTATCTCATATGTAATAATGCATTATCCATAAAGAGAGCTATGAAGCGTTTAACAATAAACTTTTAGATCACCGTGTTATCTAACATTACCTGTACAAGTCGGCAAAGGCTTGTCCCAAACTCTTCGATCTCCACTTAGGCAGGTAATAGTGCTGCTACCGTGCATTGTGTAGCCTGGATTGCAACTGTACAAAACAACCGTATCTGTGTAATGGCCTTCATCGCGAATCTTGTAGCCATAGTTTGGTGTTCCAGAATCCTCACATTTCACTAAATCAAAGCCTATAAAGGAAAGCAAAATATGGAAACACACATTTGAATTCTGTATTTGTGGCACACAATTAGTCATTTCACCACCAATAACAGAGATGATTCCCCATGTCTGTCTGCTCATGGGGAGGGCTTTTGACACCACCTCTAACAGAAGAGAAAAGCAGGGAGATATTCACAGATTTCCCTTCCCTTTGCAGCTCTCCCACATTTCGCCTTCCTTGCTGATGTTGAGGCTCCTCTAATCCTTTGGAACATATTGTTTTTGGGGTGGGGAGAAGGGGACACAGGAACTGCGTGGGGAAGAGGGGAATCCATCTTCTTTCATGAGTGGATGGTAGTGGCATAGGGAGAAAATTTGAGGCTACGTGTTATCAGTAAGTTCAAAGATTATAGTCTCCCTAATTTTGTTTTTATGCGCAGTGCGGGGAGTTAGAACTTTGCCCACCAGATATGCCTATTCCACATCTGACATCCTAGGTCCACATGTGGGTGCACCATGTGAATATGAACACATGTAAAAATCCAATGTACAGAGTCCCTAATTGGGTTTTCAGATTTTAAATCAGATATTGCGCTGTTCATGCCCACATGACTTAAGGCATGTATACCCTATTCAAACATTACACCCAATGCGGGGACATCTGGGAGAATTAGAGGTGGGGCAGGCGTACCTGGAGGGCAGGGTAGGAAGCTGAGTTTTCACTCTCTCGCCACTTGTGGGGGATAAGAATGGTGAGCATATCATCCAATTCGACCCCAAAAGTATCTTCATTTCACATAAATGAGATCCTCAAATTTGACCTCACTATTGTCCAATTTTGGGGCTCTTCTGATGTTATTCCTTCCTGTGCCATGAAGTCAATGTCAGAAAACAAAAATGTGATGATCTCTTGAAAACTGGACACCTTTTATTAATTACTGAAGAAATAAGGCACAGCCATCAACATATGTCATTGGCGCACTAAATTTATGGCGATATTTCAACATGGAAATTACAAATAGCAATGTATTATGTATTTTCCCCCTTATTTTTTGAAGTATTTGTATCCTGTCGTACTGTGAAAATGCACCTCAAGTTGAAATCAATAAAACTTGGGGGAAATATATTTAGGTACTATAGAATACGAAAGCAACATACAAAGCATAGCACAACAGCACTTCTAATAATTATGAGCTGGGCCCCAAATGCCCCCTTAAATAAAAAGGTTTAAGTTGCTCACAAAGAGTTACATTATTGTGTGTATAGGTGTGGATCCATATCCATATCCATATCATATTATTATTATTATTATTATTATTATTATTATTATTATCATTATTATTAGTTTGGTTCTCCCCTCTAACTACTCACACTGCCTCAAAAAGTGTTTGGCAAAAGCCAAAACCAGCCAAACACAGCCCTGAAACACTACTTTTAAACTACCACTTAGTCAAGTGAGGGAGATTTTTTTAAATATAAATACTACATATCTGACCAAGGGTTTATCTGACCTGTTTTGTTTTGTTTGTAAGAACCTATTTAACTCTTTTCCCTAAACATTTTATTTTTAAACTATTAAGATTTGTGGTAGGCTGACATCTAACACCACTACATTTTTAAAAGCCTCCAAAATTAAGCATCAGTTTTCAAGCACTGGGAGAGTTGTTGTTTATAAAAAAGCAGCATGATCATATCATCTGTGCCAAATCAGAAACTCAGTTGCAACCAGATGACAAAGAAGACAGTTTCAGAAATGGTTTCAAATGCAGCACAGCACAGCAGAACAGAGTTGCTGCTGTAAAAGTAAAGTTAAAAGGTGCAGATGTACACATGGATCATTCTGTGTGCTTCTTTGGGCTGGAGCCACACAGATAAGTGAAAATAAGCAAACATTTCTGATTACGTGATCTGCGATTCAAATGACTGCAATGCAAACTTGCTGGGGATTCTCAGCAACAGATGTCAATCATACAGACATGAAAACATGATGAATCTGTTTATTGGCACCAGGTGCCTTGATGGGTAGGTAATAAGTAGCCTCAGAAAAACCCGCTGACATATTAGAAGGCAAGTCAGCTCTGAGTGTTATTTGTCAAGACTGCACACTGTTTACTGTAACAAACGCTGTATACAGAAAAGAAACATTTCCTTCCAATGTATAGGCAGTGATACATTGTGTGTCAAAAACATTATACTTAACCACTTGTCAAATTTGTTAGTGGCAAAATATCATCACTTATCAACACAACTACTGTAGGTTTAAAAAGCTTCAAGTCAAATGGATTGCCCACAAGGCTGAATCTGAACTTGCAGGCTTGCGTGTCCCTGCAATTTCACCTTGCCACAGAAAAAGAATAATAATAAGATGAAATGATGCATTTACCTTTCAGAAAAGAGGTGACCCCTAACAATGCACTTGGATGATAATCTCCTTAGGGAAGAGATGTGAGGAGAAATGCATTTTAAATCCCAAAAATTCTGAACCAGAAGTTTGACTGTTGTTGCTAACTGGGGACCACTTACCAGTACTTAGCCAGGAAGATGGTCCCCTATGTCTCCTCCCCAGCGGACACCAGTTAGAAAATGTGGGGGAGGAAAAACTAAAGCTGGAAACACATGCAATGAAAAGATAATTCAAAATACTGTGCATGCCCTGTTAAGAGTTGCAGCATGCGAACAATCTGAATATTGATATGGAAGCCTTGGCCATTTCCCACTCACTGACTTCCTGGTCACTGCCTTCTCCTCCTTTGACTGGGAAACAGAGTACTGCAGATAGGCACTCTGAAGTGGGGAAGAAATTGTGACATGGGGCTGTGAGTAATTTTGTTGTGCAGCTGGAATAGGAGATCTTGAAAGCAGTAGTGGACTCAGGTAGGTAGGTAGGTAGGTAGGGGAGTGGGTGACAGGCACATGTTTAGTTTCCAGGGCAGCTGAGAGCGTATTCATGGCACTGTAGACTCTCATTTGCCTCCAGCTTAAGACATGTTCTTTGTCACCCCTGCTTTAAAAAATATCCTGTAGGCCACAAGAGGACAAAGTCAGCAAGGAGAGTAAGCAACACTACATCTACCTGGATTTATCCAGCCAGTTCCCAGGTAATTCCAATCATATCCCCATCCACTGCTTTAGATATTGTTGTAAATAAATGTGGCAAAATAGCCAGCAGACCTTCACTTAGCTTCTGCCCATTTGGTCCTGTGGAGGACCCAAGCATAGCATTTCACTGACCCCAGTGCTGCCAGCTACTGCTTCTATGCTCCAAAGGAATGGGCGAATATGCCAATTTTCGCTTCTCCCAGTTTCTAATTCTTCACGTCATAAGTTCAGTTCTTTGCACTTCCAAATCACTTTTCTCTTTTTTGGAATCCTCATGAAAATTCATTAGCATTTTAGTTCAAATTTATCCTAATTTTGTATGCAATTGTGATGAATATAACCATTTTTTGTAAAGGCAATTTCCCCCTAACAGAATGCACTTGTGTATTTTAGGAATACATGCGCTGTCTGCACAATTTAACCCATTATATATTACTTGACTGCACTGAAAAATGCAGAAAACATTCAAAGGTTGGCTATATTTCTGCTCTCTTATTGTTTCAGAAAATGAGAATTAGGTAGGTCTGCCATTAAATTGTGCACTGAATCAAATTTCTCTCCCAACCCAAATGCTTGCTGCCACTACTCATTGTCTTTCTTTACCCTGCGCAGGAAGTTTCAAGTTCTGTCCCTCACTTTTTCTCACTCACATGAGAGCTTATCCAAATACTGAAACCCAGTGCTTTTTGTGACTGTACTCACTGTACTGGCACCTTTTCATTTTAAACTTTTCTGCTTCTTTACTTTTGTTCAGCTGAACTCTGGAAGCACCAAACACTATTTTAATTCAGCTGGAAGTCTAGACTGTCCAAAATAAAATTTACAATCTGATTTTCTGTTGTCAGTTGCTGTAGAATCTTGAGCACAGAAAGGCTAGTTTTGTTCACAGTGAAAGCTGAGCTGTTTTTCTTTCAACAGATCAGAATACACAAAGGGGGACACAGGAAACCCCCCCCCCCATTGCATCTCTTCCCATCTTCCAGAAGGAAAGGCAATCACCTTAAAAAAGCAGCCGCTTTTGTGATGCTGGGGTGAGGGTTGGAGATCCCAAGAGTATTACTTGACAGGAAGTAAGGACCAAACATGACAGATTACTCCTTTCCCTGTCGAGCCCCATATATCTCAGGAGCTAAGCAAGAATGACTAGAGTGTGCTGTGGAGAGGGTAGAAAGTAACTGACGGAACGTCTCAGAGTGCACTGGGTCTGCTTCCATTCCTTATCAGTGACCAAACTGATCTTCCTCTGACCACTGAGTTTCCTTTCATGCCATATTGTTATCACTTTAAGTCTGGAAAAGGTAATTCTAGCAACAGAACTCTAGATGATGTATTTTAGGTATCAACCTTCATATGGAAGGAACTGAAGTGAGCAATTGTTCAGTGTTCTCAAGTCATGCTGAATAACAGCAAGGGAAAGTTCCAAGTGAGGTAAAATTATGCCTTTTCTTTCACAGAATGGGTGTTTCTGTTGTGTCCTGTTATCACACTGTTCAATCTCTTCCTTTAAGGGTATCTTGCTCTATATAAATGCCAATGAACTGTATTGTCAAATGACAATATACCTTTTGAGGGTTATAAACAAGAAAAACCAGAGTTCAGGTAGAGGGCCCATAAAGTAAATATACATGAACACCAACTGCAGAATAATATTCTTTATCCCCTTTCTGTGTCATAACCTGTCCAGTGCATCACAGAGAATGTACTGTCTATTCTAATAGTAATTCCTCAGCCTATACGAGGGCATTTACAAGCAAAAAAGCATTTTAAGGTTTCTGTCAGTTTATTTTAAACTCTAATCTGATCAAACTTTTTACCTGGGGTGAAGTGTTATGCAGTCTGACTGCAAAGAACATAACAACTTTAAGTCTCTCTGGCATTAGAATTACACTTCCCTTCCCTCCCTCCCTCCTCTCTCTCCTTCTCTCTCTCT